TCCTGACTGTAAGCCTGCTGTGAGTGGCAGCTTATCCTTTCAAGAATTTAATTGTGGTGTAAACTAAATAACAGTATAACAGAATCATAGAATGACAGCTCCAGCTGGTGTCTCTAAGGAGGGATGCTGAGCAAAGCAAGCCCTGAGCTTTTGCACCCTTCCAGTCTAAGGGCAGGAAAGACTGGGGGCAGTTGGCTCCTGCAAGGGGCCAGCAGTTCACAGCCTCTTGCCTGGGGCTGCTGCACCCACAGCTCAACCTGCAGCTTGCAGTGCAGCTGCCCTTGAGCTACCTGCAGGAGTGTATTCCTTAAAACAGAGGAACTGATGACAGTTATGGGGGAAACAAGACATCCACAAACTCCTTTCCTGTTGCTCACAAGCCCCCTAAAATATGGGGAGGCAGAGCCCCAGTGTGGTGGTGCATGAGAGGCATAGGGAGGCACAGATGGGGTGCAGTGGGGTGGGGATGGGGTGGAGGGGGCACAGGGTGGTGTCAGGATCATCCTGCTATCATACTGGGAGTGACTAGGAGTGATGAGGATCATGCTTGGAGTGACTGGGTTCAAACTGGGCATGACTCAAAGTGGCTAGGATCATAGTGTGAGTGATGGGAACCATACTGAGACCATGCTGGGAGCCAACTGTGGACACTGAGTTCATACTGGAAGAAACTGGAACCATTCTGGGGGGACTGGGACCATGCTGGGGGCAAATGGGGGGAACTGGGAGTGACTGGGTCTCCACTGGGGCAACAAGGAGCAACTGGTACCATGCTAGGAGCTACTTGGGTCATGTTTGGAGCAACTGGGACCACATTGAAGCTGACTGGGATCATGATGGGAGCAATTGGAATCATGCTAGGGGAAACTGGGATCTTGTTGGGGTAACTAGGATATAGGGGGAGCATCTGGGCCCATGGTGGGGCAACTGGGACCACATTGAGGATGACTGGGATCATACTGAGATCATACTGGGAATGACAAAGAATATGCTGGGGACAGCTGGGATCTTACTGGGAGCAACTGGGGCCACTCTGTGAGTGACTGGGATTGACTGCATCCAACTGGGATGATGCTGGAAGCAACTGGGAGTGACTGAGAGCAAGTGGGCCTATACTAGGGTAACTGGGCCCTATTGGCAGTGACTGTGAGTGACTGGAATCCTACTGTGGGTGAATGGGAGCAACTGGAAGCATGGTGGGGCCAACTGAGATATCCTGGGAGACACTGGGAGTGACTGGGACTGACTGAAACTATGCTGGAGATGACTGGGAGCAACTGGGGTCATGCTGGAGGTGACAGAGATCATACTGGGGTTATGCTGGGATCATACTGGAGTGACTAGCAGCATGCTGGCAGGACCCTACTGGGAGTGAGTGGGATATTAATCGAATCTTAATGGGAGTGACTGAAAGTGACTGGGATCATGCTAGGGGAAACTGGGATCATGTTTGTGGTAACCTATCTACTGGGAGTAGCTGGGCCCATGGTGGAGACAACTTGTATAATGTTGTGGGCAACTGGCAGCACACTGAGGGTGATTGGCATCAATACTGAGATCATACTGGGAAAGACTAGGAACATGCTGGGGGCAACTGGAACCTTGTTGTTGGCAACTGGGATATCTTGGGAGCAAGCAGGATCATTCTGGAGGAAACTGGGGTCATACTCGGAACAACTAGGACCACAGTGAGGGTGCCTGGGAGTGGCTGGAAGCAAGTGGGATCTTGCTGGCAGCAACTGACAGTGACTGGGATCGTGCTAGAAAGCACTGGAAGAAAGTGGGACTGCAAGAGCACATGCTGGAGGGAACAGGGATCATACTGGGAGCAGCTGGGACCATGGGAATAACTGGGCTCATACTGAGAGCAACTGGGATCACACTGAGTGTGACTGGGAGTGACTGCATCCAATTGGAATCATAGAATCACCCAGGTTGGAAGAGACCTCCAAGATCATCGAGTCCAATCCTACCATGGTTACTAGACCATGGCACTAAGTGCCACATCCAGTCTCATCTGGAAAACCTCCAGGGATGGTGAATCCACCACCTCCGGGAGCAGCACATTCCAATGCCTGATTACTCTCTCCGTAAAAAATCTCTTTCTAATATCCAACCTAAACCTCCCCTGGCAGAGCTTGAGTCTGTGCCCTCTTGTGCTACTGCTGGTTGTCTGGGAGAAGAGACCAACCCCCACCTGACTCCAACCTCCTGTCAGGGAGTTGTAGAGGGTGATAAGGTCTCCCCTGAGCCTCTTCTTCTCCAGACTAAACACCCCCAGCTCCCTCAGGCTCTCCTCATGGCACTTGTGCTCGAGTCCCTTCACCAGCCTCGTTGCTCTTCTCTGGACCTGCTCCAGCACCTCAATGTCCCTCCTGAACTGAGGGGCCCAGAACTACACACAGTACTCAAGGTGTGGCCTCACCAGCACCGAGTACAGGGGCAGAATCACCTCCCTGGTCCTGCTGACTGTGCTGTTCCTGATCCAGGCCAGGATGCCATTGGCCTTCTTGGCCACCTGAGCACACTGCTGGCTCATGTTCAGCTTTCTGTCTATCCAAACTCCCTGGAAGCAACTGGGAGTGACTGGGAGCAACTAGGCCTATACTAGGTGTAACTGGACTCCTCTTGGCAGTGACTGGGAGCTACTGGAATCATACGGGGGGTGAGTGGGATCATACTGGGGCTGACTGGGAGCACCTGGGAACAACCAGGACCATTCTGGGAGCTGCTGAGAGCCTTGTGGGAATGACAGATATCTTACTCAAATCATACTGGGTGTGACTGGAAGTGATTGTGATCACATTGGAAGTGACTGGGACCATGCTAGGGGAAACTGGGATCATGTTGTGGGTAACTGGGATCATACTGGGAGTAGCAGGGCCCATGCTGGGGGCAGCTGGGATCATATTTGGAGCAACTGGACC